ACACTGCATTGTCTTAGAAGGAGAGGATATGAAGTTCGTGTTTCTCACATAATTCATAAACAAGATAGTGAGGACTCAAAATTACCATGCAAAATTTATAAAGTCGCCGCCACATCATGACAAGTCTCATGATTTTGTCCACAAAGTAGTCAACAACATAGCTAACATATCAGATTTCCTTTTCTCCACCAAATTGGAGGAGACAGAGGGGATCGCACATATGTTGCTTGCAGACGAATAATGGAAGTACTACTGAAAGACTGTCATAAAACGACAACGAAGTAAACAACCAAGCAACAATATAAAGTCATTTTCGGTTCATACTTCATATGACAATATATTGACAGACGCCTGTAACTTGGAGGTCTAAGAAACACCGTCGTCTCTGTTTTGTGTGCTTGTATGCAGTGCCCAACTAGTCGTTCTGGATCCCCTTAGCAATGATAAGACCTACTGAGGAGCAAGTGCAGTATGTTGAAAGCATTGCACCCAAAAGTGAAGATGACGGGGAGTATGGGATTGTCGTTTACAATGGTGATTGCAAGGTGACAAAGAAGTTCATGATAATAGTCCTTAAGGATAAAAAGTAATTGATCGACGAAGTCCTTAAGTTCTATCTGACCGCGATCCAAATTGACAACGATCAAAGAACACGAAGTTTGAAATTTAAAGAGGAGATTACAAGCGATTAACCGAATGAAAATTCGTTTTCCTTTGTTACATTACCATCTGCCAAGTCTACAAAATTCGCTTACTATGAGGGGGCAAAGTGGATTAGCATTGTAAATGTTTTTCACTTCAACATGGTACGTATCCCTCTTAACTTTGGAAACCATTGGGCTTTGGCATGGGTTCGTCTAAACAGACACGTTTTTGAAATCTGGCTTGTAGACTCTCATTCCGAAACAAACCACATCACATCGCTCGAAACATGAGCGACATTCTTTAAAATGGAGTTTCGTTGTCAACAAAGCACATGGAGGAGCGTGCGATACCTTTCGATGCATCGGTTGAAGGAGTGATTACTGAAGCAGACAAGTGTAGTTGTGGTGTGTTCATGTTAGGTTTTGCATCATTCCTGGCAAACGGTGACTTTCTACCGTTCAATTTTTCTGAAGACAACATTCGAGACATGCAACTAAGAATATCATTCGACATTTTGTCAATGTCCAATCACAAGTAGTGTGGTTAGTTCATAAGGATGAACTAGGTTATGTAGCTTGTTTGTACAATATGTTTACTAGCTCCCACCAAATTTTGATTTCATAAAAGATGTATTTCTTGAACTTTTCAATGCATTTAAGTTTTACAGTTTCTTTTCATTACCCTCTCCCCCCCCCCCCCCCCCTCCCCTTTATTTTGTTTCATTCTGCACTTACAAAAAAAATGAACATGCAAATGATTTCACTTTTTACGAAAACATCGTTTCAAGAAAAGAGAAAAACAACCATAGGGGTGAGGGGAAAATAAAAAAAATAGATAGTGAATTTTCCTAGGCTGCTAGAGTGGACGAGAACCACTTGCCTGACCAGAAAAAAAAAATAAAAAATCTTTCAATTTGAAAAGATTTTGGATGTGACCCTGGCATAAAAGTTAATCAGTTTATTTTTCTGCATAACATAGTTATTTTTCGGATGTTTTGGATTTTTCTTTTTCGGACGTGAAAGTTATTTATCAAGGTGACCCGGGCAGCCCGGCTGGTAGCCTAGGAATTTTTCGGGCCTTTTTTTGGCAGCATTTCCCCACCCCCATGGGGTCAAGATTTGCCAAGAGAAGAGAGAAAACCAAGAAAAGCACACTGACTTCCAAAGTACCACAAATCAAAAATTTCAGAAAAATAAAACAATAAATGAGTAAGTGGAGGAGAGTAAAGAGAAAACTAAGTTTTGTATTTGTTCAAAAGTATTGGCAGCATTTGATTACCCTCATGGAGTTGAAATGTGCAATCAAGAAAATGACTAAGTAAAAACAGAATAATTTGCCAGTACTTCATTACCCCCAAGGGGTCAAAGTGTGCTGGAAGAAGAGACTAAGGAGAAAAAGAGAACTTTGGTAGCACTCCGTTACCCCCTAGTAAGTCCTAGAAAGATTTGAGTGTACCGCAGATAAATTTCAAGTTTCAAATAAATAAAATTAAGAAAAAAATAGGAAAGTGAGAAAAAGGAGGTAAGAAGCTAATTCGAATTTTTGGAAAGAGAAAGAAAAAGGAATCAAAGAGGAACAAAAAAAAAGAGAAAAAGAAAAAAATCAAAGTTGGGAAGGGAGGGGTGAGGAGGTGAGAAAATGCCACGTGGCACTGTAGATGGTGCAAGGAAAACAAGCAACAGCGAGATGACAATTCCAGTTCACACCATCACATTGAAAGCCAGATAGTCACACTGAAAACCAATGTTCATGGAGAGCAAACTCTCTCCCCTCAACACAAGAGTCCAGTTCCTTCACACTCACACTTGGCGCTCAGCGCCCAGCCTGCTCCTACACAGCTACTAAAGACTACAAAAAGACAATGCAACTGTTGACATCAGCGGCAGCCCGAAGTACTTGAAGATGTCGCCCGTGCAGACCATCGCCAATACAAGGTAAGTGCCCTCACATCATCATCATCATCATCATCCTTCACCTATCCCCTGACTACACCCACGTCTGTCCTCTGTTTCACCCGAAGACCACCCCTGCGCTTCACTGTAGTCCAAGCCCACCAGCTATGGTGGTTGGGCTATGGCGCTGCCCTCAGCAGCGCCCTCCTCCTCTGCACGACCGCACGTGCTGCACCTCGCCTCTCAGCGCCAGCCAGCAGCTGCGAGCCCTTGCTCCAGCAGCACTGCCGCTAGCATGCGAGTGCCTGAATGAGGCTGCCTGGCCAGAGCTCTTTCCTTTATGGAAAAGAGCTGGCCAGCTCTCGCAGCCTGGCTGGGCTGGCGTGGGCCCAGAAGCTTCCGGAAGGCCCCAGGAGGCTGCCTGGATGCAGCAGCTACTGGGCTGCTGGGCCTCGTTCGGTTGGGCGCCCAACTGTCTCTGTATGAGGCTGCGAATCACGCCCAGGGCCTGCATTCTTTGGAAAGGCCCGGTAGGCCGTGGAAATGTCTTCGGTGCTCGGCCTGTGTTTCTTTCAACCAACTGGCGCGTCGCAACTGCCTGGACCCCAAATATGAAATTGACAGTCGAGGGCCTCTTGCAAAAAGCCAGGCCCGCCTTCACTTAGGGCGGGCACCTCCGCCTTCACTTAGGGCGGGTAAGGCTGCAAACAGGGCCGCATAGGCCTACCGAGGACCCTGATCCTCGCAATGGCCACGTGCGCAGGCAACAGCAGCCATGGTGCAGGGGGAGGGGGTAGCGAATAGCACGTCACCCATTGCTGCCGTGTCACTCGCTGCTTGGTGCTCGGCGACGGAGAGGGGGTTGGGTAAATAGCTGCCGTGGCCTCCTCAACATCAGCGTGCCGCGGTAGTCGATATATGGACTTTTCCTGTCTATTAGCACTCTGGCTGCACACGTGCATGCCCTGCAGCTGCCCAGGTTCAAACCCTGGCAGAGGGGGGGGGAGGGAGAAGCGAATAACATGTCACCCATTGATGCCGGTGCTCGCCGATGGAAGGGGGGGGCTCAACATCACCGTGCCGCTGTAGTTGTCCATACATGTACTTTGGCCAGTCTGTTAGCACTCTGCCTGCGTGTGCGCATGCCCTGCAGCTGCCGAGGTTCAAACCCTGGCAGGAGTACTTCACCGATCTTGACAAGATGTCATCAGATCTTGATGACATATATCCGGGAGCGGGGCAGAGCAGGGCCAGCGGGGATCAGGCGCTCATGCAGTGGCCTCGGCCTTGCTTGCACGCGCAAACTGACTCCATGTCACACTTTTTCAATGTCCTCCCGCTGTTCCCCCTGTCGTCCCCAGAACTACTGGTACTGCTTTTTCCCGTTGTTTTCCACTGTGAGGCATCGGAAAACAGGGTAAATTCCGCTGTCACGATTGCACCTATCGGAAGGCTGGGTGGGAGCAGGTTCGTTCCCGCTCTGATACAGTATGACGGAGCCGCCGGGATGGCGGTCCGTCAGGATCAAGACGGGCGTATGAGGAAGGAGGACATGGAGATGGAGCTGGAGGGGACAGCGCAGCTCCAACGCAGACTCAACACACAAGTACTCCAAACTGTGCAAATGAAGAACGAGTGGAAAACTACAGCTGGGTTATACCCCCAGCGGACTGATTGGACTGGACTGGACTGGCCTGGTGCTGACAGTGGCACTGGGCAGGATGGCACTGGATGAATGAATACACGGCCTGTGGGGTCAGGCCACGGACTGGTCCCACAGGGCAAACAGGCAAAATGGCCCGATAGCCCTGGCTCTAGGCCAGGGTAGCTAGAGGCCCACTGCAACTGGCCCCTGGACTTCTCCAGGGGGTCTGTACCATAGGATCAGAAGGTGTCGACCCCAGTCTTACGGCCGGGTGGTGGCACCACCTGTGTTCTTTTTCGTTGTCCTCCTCCACTTCTATGCACCCCGGACAGCCCTTGGCTGGTCCTCTCTACGCCACCCATGAAGGGTAAAGAATAATTATTTTTATTTTTATTTTTTATTCATTTTTGGCCCATTGTGGCTAGTGGCACGGGCCACTCCGGTAACATAGTGCTAGGAAAAAAAAAAAAAAAACGTTGTGCTAAAAGAAATAAAGAATACGGATTAATAAAAAACAAGGCCTAGGAAAATGGCTGTGGCCCTCCAGGCTGCCCAAAGTAAAGGGGATCACGGGCTAAGGGTCGACATTCAAAGGTCGGGCATTTGGGGCCTGTGTATCAGGCCCCAGCATGGAACCGGAGGGGAGGAGACATTGGGTTAATTTCGTGTTGTTCTTCTCCTCCTTTGGTTCACTCTCTGGTGTTTCCTTGTCTTTTCCACTTATTGTTGATTTGATATGATTGACATTCTCTCGAAGTTAAGTTTGGCATAAAGAATTGGACAGGCACATAACTCTTAGCGTCCAAATAGAAACTGCTACAGACCAGTACAGTTTACTGTCAACATGCAAATGGGGGGAAATAACTCACTCTTTCAAGGGATTTTGAAGCCACAGACTTCAGCCCATCTGATGGCCACTCACTGAACCAGTCAATTGTGCAGCAGTTAACAAGTGACGGAAACATCCGTAAGCGCCTCCGAAAGTTCCCACCCTCAGGAGTCATGCACAAAACCATGTGCAAATTCTCCTTGCACACATCGATGAAATACTGCATGAGATCTGCACTTGACCCATCGCGTCCCACCTTCTTGGCACGGATTCTCACCATTTCAAGAACACTGGCAATCTCATCCTTGGGATATAGGTTAGGAACCTGCTTACAGGGCCAAAAAAAACATAATTAAGAAGTCAAAGTGGGGAAAGAGGAAGGAATAAAGACAAGCAGCTGAGTACGACCAATATATAGTTAAAAAACCTGGGCTAAAAGAGGGCGTGAAAGAGGGCGAAACCAGCAAGGCAAGACCTGGAAGAGGCGTCAAAGGGAAAACACGGAAAATGGCACATAGAGGTCATAACTATCCTTGCACAGAGATACATATATATATATATAGATAGATAGATAGAGAGAGAGAGAGAGAGAGAGAGAGAGAGAGAGAGAGAGAGAGAGAGAGAGAGAGAGAGTAGCATGTTGAGGCCTCTACACAGGCCCCCTTTTGGAGGCCCGATGGTTCGTGGTCGCCCCCAGGCCACGCACCCATTCTGGATTGGTGACCTGGCGGGGCAGGGTCATTTTCCAGACCTAGACACACGTTTTGGGAACGCAATTCCTTCTGAGTCAGCATTTGTTTATTTATTTGCCGAATTTTTTCTGTTCCAGGTGTGTGGCTTTGGATTTTCCTGTATTCTGAACAGACCGCTTTTCGGACCAGTGGGCCACTTTTCAGGCCGAGGTACGCCAGGTTCAACTTTGGCCGTAGCAGGGACTGTGCAAGTCAGTCGTCCTCTTGTGCCTGGCCCAGTCCTCAGAACCCTGCCGCATCAGCAGGATTGCCTGGACGTCCGGTGGGGAGTCAAGTAGGTCGTTTTTTGTCACCCTGAGGGTCATAGGATCCAACGGTCTCGATTGCAGATGGTGGGTTCTTCAGCCAGGCTCGGTGGTATATAGCTGGGCCAGTCCAGCAGTTGGGGACATTAGGCTGAACCTCCACTTTAGACGTCAAGCTGCTGGAGCACTGCCAGATCGTGGAGCGCTGCGTTAGGATAGAGGTAACGGAGTAGGAGAAGGTACTCAGAGGCGGAGGCTGGTGAGCCGTAGCCGCGGGGAGTTGAGCTGCTTACCAGGGCGCCATAAATGGCACCTTGCTACAGCCACCTGCATCAGTGAGCCACCACTCACACTGTTCAGTACATGGACAGCAGTATCGTCAGGTGAGCGGGTGGCAGAGGAGGGTTCCTTTCGTCTTCTTCTTCTTCTCTCTGATTCTACTCCGACCTCCATAGCTACTGTTCTTCTTCTTCTTCTTCCTCTTTCTATGAGACAGAGAGAGAGAGAAAGGTTACAGGGAGAGACTGTTGTTGGGCATCGAGCACCCAGGATCTGACTCGACATTTGGGGGACAGATGTTGATTGGACCCTTGCAGGGGAGACTATTTTTGAACTATCTGGAGCTCCGCTCTTGTCTTCTCTCCCCTCTCCTTCTTCACGTTCCATGGACTTCTTTACCAGGTACGTATGCAAGGAGGGACCTTTCTTCTGTCGATGTCTTTGCCCTCCTTGTTGTCTCACTTGTGTGATATGTGCTATGGTGTGGCATACTAGTTCTACACGGGCCCTGCAGGGCCCGCCTAGGTAGGAGTAGGGGTAGGCCTGTTTAGGCCAAGTAGTAGTAGGTCGGGGCATGTCTTTCGGTTAGCGCCAGGCCCAGTTAGGCCCAGGCACGCAGACCCCGATTCGGGTCTGCAGCAGTTAGGCGCCAAGTAGGAGGCACAGGCCCTGGGCGCCGTTCGTTTGGGCCCCAGGCCACGGTACCGTTCGGGCGCCAGTTTTGGCGGAGACTCGTTTCACGCAACCATCGGGCGCCGAGTTTAGGCGCTAGGACTTTCACTAAGGTCACTACCTGAGGCTGAACCAGCGCTGTATATAGCTGGCCGGCCTCAGTTTGAGTAGGCATTCTTCCGGCATTCGTGGAGGTACTCAGTAGCGGTCCCTGTAGTCGACGATAGGATAGCGGTAGTGTTACATGCCCAGATGGGCGATGCACGTAATAACCGAGGATCCGCAATGTGATGAAAAGGACTGAATGGACAATGCAGTGCTAGTGAAATCTCAACAAGCAGTGTACATCCTGATACGTACAACAATGGTGTTTTATAGCACAGTGGAAGATTTAGATACAAGTCGGGACTGACCCCTTTCACGTAGTACAAGATAGCGAAACAGAAGGCTAGAATACTAATGACGAGCCCAATCAATGTCACAATGCAGACTAAACATACATCATTCCCACCACAAGGTGTGAAGGGCCCTGGCGTTATACAGAGGAAGAGGCGCCAGGTCCAGCCATGCACAGCCGAAGAGGAGGGGAGAGATGGGAAAGTCGTCAACACCAAGCCTCTTTACAAGGCCCAAATAGTCCCTCATCAAAATGTCTGAAGTCCACTGTCGAGTCTGGATCCAAATGTCACCAAGCTCTCTCTCTCTCTCTCTCTCTCTCTCTCTCTCTCTCTCTCTCTCTCTCTCTCTCTCTCTCTCTCT